TGTTTTTACTGACTGTGAAGCACTATGGTCAACACTGTTGTTTTAATATGTGCTATATAAATAAATTTTGATTTGATTTGATAATGACCCAAAGTGTATCACTAAAGCCACGCTAGAATTTCTTATTAGTAATGTCTGACTACTTGTCAATTCTCTAATTACTTCTGGGCCTCAAAAAATTGGGGACTATGAATAAGAAAAAGAAAATAAAAGGCTGTAATTCCTAAACAGTTAATGCAATACTTTTGTTAAACCCCTTGTTTTAAAGCTAAACGTCTGCACTTCAATCACATATTCTGACTTAAAACAGCTGTGTATATCAGCAAAACTACAAAAACTGTGTATGCCCCCCCAAAAATATGGACCCAACTCTGACCACTAACTGTGGTGAAAGGGGAGCATGCAATTAAGTATGATAATGTTTTTATTACATTAAACGTTATATGTGGGGAAAACCTGTAGAATATGGAAATCTACGCAACAGCAAATTAAGGTGCATTTGTGTCCTTATTTTATAGCAGTATAAGTCAAATGTAACTGCAAGTTTAACTTTGAGAGTACTTTGAGAGGGATCTTCAAACTGACAGAAGTAACTCACAAGAGATGACAGCTTTGCTCAGGTTCTTATACAGCCTCAGGTTTAAGAAGATTCTTGGATCTTTACTTCATGTTATTAATGCTGATATCATTTTTCAAACAAATGCTGTTTACAATGGAAACATTTTAGCGATTGCCCATGTTCCATTCAGTCAATCATTGGACACACTTATACCTCATATACTGAGAGAAAAAGCATTGAGGTAGGAGCTACCACAGAGTTCAAAGATCTGCACTCATCCTCAGCTACACGAAAACATTTGAATTCTTCCAACAGCAACATTGAAGACTTTCCTACAGTCCATAAGAACCTACAGGCGAGAAGCAGAGTTCACACAGACGGTAAACGATCGCTTCCGTGACTTTGGGAGCTTCTCCTTAACGCGCTCCCGGAATAGGGCTCTGGAAGACCCAACCAAAGCCCTACTCCGGGAAGCATGTTTAGCAAAATCTGAGTTTAGAAATAAAGTGAGTTGGTTACATTTGATGTCAATAACTCTGGGCTTCTCAATCCAGAAGAGCTGACCAGTTAGTTCAATACAACTGTGAGTATGTTCAGGATGGGATGGAGCACATTTATGAGTACAGAAAGAAAACCACCATCAGAGGAGCTCTGACACCGAGAGTCTCCAAGAAAGCACAGCCTCACTTCGACTCCAGTGGACTGAGGAATATCACTGTGTCACGATCACGATGGCTACGTTAAGAAGCAGGAGGGGAGAAGAAAATAAAATATATATATCTCACAAAACTGAGTACACCCCTCACATTTCTGTAAATATTTCATGGGACAACACTGAAGATATGACACTTTGATACAATGTAATGTAGTCAGTGTACAGCTTGTACAACAGTGTAAAATTGCTTTTACCTCAAAATAACTCAACATACATCCATTAACGTCTAAACCACTGGCAACAAAAGTGAGCACCAGCATTGCTGCAGAAGGCGTCAAAGACCAGCCTGTCAGTGCTCAGAC